TGCTGAACAGGAATTAGGACAGATGAAGTAAGCCAAAAGAAGTATCTTGTAGGAAAACTGCTGAAAACACTTAATGGGGGACAGAAGAAGGCTACAAACCCCTTGTTTTGTCATCTGACTGGGACTTCACCAGTGACAGGGGGAAAGGCAGGCGGAACTACGTGTTTGGACTGAGCTGGTCAGTGCATAACATCATGTAGTCTGAAAGAGCCAAACAGGGCGTTGAAATAAAATCAGTGTCTTAGCTGACCAGCTTCATGTAGGTCCACTACCAGAGCAAGTACTTTAAGCAAACAGAGATCATTTCAATAAGTTTTTTTCCCCACCTATAAACAGGATAATGGAAAGCAAACAGATGGTTGTGGTAGACTGGGAGTTGGGAGTCACAAATAGCCACAGACTCCTCTGGCATGTCAGAGAAGCCTATCAATGAGCTGTACCTGCATAGAATGTTGTATTTTGAATTAGGGAATCAAACTACAACAGGTAGCATTAACTGTGTGTTGTGGCTTTGTTTGCAGATTGCTTGTCAACCTCATTAAGCGCAAGCCCCAGATGACAGAAGAACAAATAAAGACAATTGCTGATGGTTTCACTGCCATGGTAGACAAGTGCTGCAAGCAAGCAGATATTGAGACATGCTTAGGGGAAGAGGTATTTTCCATCTCCTTAAAAAAAAACAACAACAAACAAAACCCCAAAACAAAACAGAAACCAAACACCTATACAGGAAACTCCCTAGGAAACCATACACTACTCATGTGGTCCTGCATACTACCATGGTGACATGTCTGTGTGCCCTTACAATATGTTATGCCTGCCAAACATAACATATCTTGACTGTACAGATTACAGTCACAGATTACAGTCATTGAACAGTTTCATGTGGAAAGGCTGACTGGGGGTAATGTAGTCCAGTCATCTGCTCAGAGCATGGCTAAGTTGTAGATTAGATAAGGTTCTTCAGAGCCTTGTCCAAAAGAGCTGACTATCTACAAGCCATAGTTTAAAAATATGTACATGTAGAATTGCACCTTTATCTCTAGCATATGTAAACTTCCTTTTGTGCTACAGACTCTGAAGAATCATCAGTAAAAAGTGCACCTACATCAATTATCAGGGACTCTTAGCAAACACAGATATATTGGCAGGGGGAGCTCAGCTGATGATCTCCTATGAACAGACATTCCATTTTTTTCAAACTCATCAACCATAAATACATTAATTCACTCAACATTTGTCTCTGAAATAACCACAGGATAAGTTTATCTGCAGCCATGTTGCTAAGCAAGTGCAAAGCATTCACTGGAAGTAAAAATGACAGTTTCCAACAGCAACCTCACTATCATGTCAAATATTGAACCATGTTACTAAGATCTTAAATTGCTTAATGATTGAACCGTTTTTTATTTATAACCAAAATATTGCATAGGTAAATATATTAGGAAGACTTGAGGAAATAATTATTTTGCCTCTAATTCACTCTAAAAGTTCATTTTCTACCTTTGCAAAACAGATAATCACCCAACATGCAGGACCTTAGAAAGAACCAAGATAACAATCCTTCAAACCACAACATAGACAGGAGTTTAAGTTTACAGAAGCTCCTGCTCAAACACTGTGTGCTTTGCTCCATTGGTTTGTCTCTGATGACTGTTTTTATTCCTTTTTCTAGGGTGCAAACCTAATAGTCCAGGGCAGAGCCATATTAGGAATTGGCATGTAATGTCTGGTAGGTAACAGCAACAATACCTATATACTGGGTCACCTCTCCATCTGTCCCTCCCTGCCCACCCTTCCACCCATTTAACTCCATCTCATAAAAGCACCCAGCTTCACTTGGACCCCCAGGTGTTTGCTTTTTCTAATGGGTGGTTTACTGCCATTTTTACAAAATAATTCTTTTTTCTTTCTCCAACCTAGGTTGCCACAGGGAAAAATAAGAAGAAAAAGACTTGTGTAACTTCTCCCACCCATTACCTTTTTTCCTTTGGTACAGAATGAGTATTTCATAAATCTTCAGTGTTTTGTCAAAGCACATGCTTTCCCAGAATCTTTTCAATTCTGATACTTTTGAAAAAAAAAAAGAATAAATAAAAGCTTTGTAAATCTGCATCTGTTGTTGTCTGCTGGTGACTACCATAAGGGCAAAGCGTTTGTGTGTTCCCTACACAAAGTGGGAAGCCAGTCATACATATGGGCAGGGATTCCATTGGTTTGATGTTTTTCCCCTTTTCTTGCTGTTGGAAAGTATATATGAAAGAATGTGTAAGGTGGTAAGAAGTGTTGCTAGACTTTAATATTCCACTTAAATTACAGGTTCATTTAACACTTTGCTTCAGCAATTATAATTACGTATGAAGAGAATGTTCAAAGAGAATGTTCAGTCTCAGTAAGAAGTCCAGGAACCAGCTCTTATAAAAATAAAAAGATGTTGGTTGGTTGGTTGTTTTTTACATCAGCCCCAAATCAAGGATCTCTTCACTTGCAAAGACCTGCAAGTAGATCTGCTTTCAGGCACTTCTTTTCATGTCTTCAGTTGTTTTTAAAACAGCTTTGGACTTAGAGCTGTCTCTTGAAAAGCTCACCATCTAAATCATGTATTTCATTCAGTTCACTGAATTTAAGACCTTTTTCAGCTATATGCCACTAAAGCAGTGTGATTTTCTAGTACCTATTTAGTTTCAGTCCATGGACACAAAGCCCCCAGATCTTCAACCCTTGAACAAGGACCCTCACATCATTATAAGAGACCTCACCTAATAAGGCATTTCATAAGGACACTTTTCATGGCCTTGAAGCTCTCTGTGCCTGACATTCATGAACTGGCCATCTTCTCCAGAACCATAGAAGTGCACTCAGAATGAAACATGCAGAGACTTAAGGTTGAGAAGTTAGAAGGAATAGTCGTAAATCTTGTTACAATTGACAGGTGGGAACATTCAGTTGTTGTAGGTCATAGTTATTTATTGGTTTAGAAACATTCATGTGACCCCCAAGGCTTTCACAAACACCTCCTTCAATATTCAAAGTTCTGGGAATCTGTGCAGGTTGCATTCACCAGTTGCATGTAAACACCTTCTCACTTACTTTAAGGAAGCACAAACCAACATTATAAAGACCATTCATTTCATCTAATGCACCATCTAAAAAGCTGACAGTCATTCACTGAAGCTAAAACTAACCTGCTCTGGGACCATGCTGCAGTAAAGCTGCAAGTTAAGCTTGTTTGAGGTTCAGTGAAGATTCTGAGGCACAGAAATCAGCACTAAGCCCCACCAATCTATTGAGAAGTGTGGGTTTCTCATTAGGTTTCCAGCTAATCCCCATGCCACATCACATAATGATTTCTAGATGTGCTGATTAGCTTCCTGCCACATCTGGAATGCTTTTCAAGTGCACATTGATTCATTCCAAATACAATGCAGGTTAAGGATTCCATATACGATTTAGTAATGGAAAATGTGTTTATTATTATTACCATGCTGGTAATTTTGCTGGCTCCAAAGAGATACAGAATTAATAAGTGACTTCCAGGCCGCATTTATAATTTATTAATGCTGAAGAGAGTGATGTGTTAAGAGATTAGAGCTGATCTATATCCCAAAAATACTTTAAAAGAATGTATTATCCTCCATCCCACCCCTTTTTCTACCATCCCCAGTAACCCCTCTGTTGCAGTCTTTCAGGGTCTGTCAGATTACAGAAAGGCAGCACTGCAGCCAGGCTGCAGCACTTCAAGAAGCCTCTTAAGCCTCAGTGTTGATGGGGTTGTGAAAAATCACTTTTAAGGGCTTTTACTCCTGCGCTAAGGAATCTCCCTTGTATTCCTGGGGCTCTCTTTTGGGCTGGGCTTTTCCACAGCTGATAAGGTTTCTCTCCATCTGGGTTTCTTTGTAATGAGGTATCTTTTCCTTTTCTTCTTGTAGGGGCTGAGTTCAGAAGGAAAAGGAATAAGCACACCTGCAGCTGTAACTAAGACTGCATGGGTACAAAAGTATTCTTTGACCACTTCATTGTCACCTTAAAAGGTAGGGAAGCCTCCCCATATTACATGGAACATATTTTAATTTCTGCTACCAAACATGAATGAGGGCATCAAATTTCAGAAATGCCAGCTATTATGGTAACTATTAGCAGGGCACCTGTGATTTGTTTTCATACAGCAGCTTTTGTGAGGTTACTTCAAGAGATATTTAGGTTTTACATTACTTCCATTGCAAGTCCTTGTCCTTAGAACTCACCAAAAACTACGCAAGTGTTCAAGAGGGGAAATAAAACAACAACCAACACATCCATTTGAAGGCAGGCATGATGAGCTTTTTTGAAGGCCCACATCCTTGCCAGTGAACAACTGAGTTTGGGCCCCATCAGCTACAGCACTTGTAACCATCCATTTCCTGCCCTGTGAAAATACACTTGGCAGTTCCACTCCATATGGTGTGCCCTGGAGAGGCTGACATTTGCTGTCTCTGTCTAGATAAATATAGAAATCCCTTCTGTGGGAGATGGTGAAACAAAGTGAGATTGTGGAAGCAGATAAAGACCTAAACCAGCAAGACATTGGTGGTACTAAGTAATATGAGGAATGTCACCGTTTGATTCAGGTCCGACAACAATGCTCTCGATCCCCCCTCCCCCCAACCCAGGTAGGGAAGGAGAGAGAGAAAAAAGAGAGAGACTTGGCTGGATTGAAAACTAAACTACACAGCTTTAATTAAAACACTAATGAATCATACAAGAAAATATATACAATTATATACAGATATACTCAGGTGTGGGCAAAAGCCTCTCGCCTCCCCCCACCCCAGCAACTCCCACAGCACTTCCCTGAACTGGGAAGAGTCCCGAGGAATCCCGGAGCTGCTGCT